TTCCTCCTCCACATGGAACAAATAGGTACTACCGCCCCCTTTAGAACGTGGCATAGCTACTACATACATATCCTGACCAGGTATGGTAAAAATAATAGATCTATCAAAACAAACAACTTGGGCATGGTAGTGAGACAACCAATCCATCCCAAGCATCACATCATAAGTGTGCATGTTCAGGACCAATAGATTGGCTAGAAATCTGAGTCTGCCAATATCTAGTGTCACAGGCCCATCACTCTCATGTATAATAGCTGTATCACCCAATGGTGTAGAAATACCCTAAGGTCTAGTGCATACCCTCGTCCTCATCCCAGACAAAGTAACAAAAGTCCTAGCTACAAATGAGTGTGTAGCACCCGTATCAAATAAAACACGTCCATGCAAATCATGAATAAGAAACTTACCCTCAATAGTCTGAGGTGCCTGAACATCCTGTGGCATGGGGTTATACACCCTGCCATAGTGCAACTGTTGTGGTGTCTGTCCCTGAGTCTGCGGTGGTGCCGGTAAAGCCAGATGTGTCTATCCCTGAATCCGTGGAACCTGTGGAGCTGGTAGAGGCACTGGCGCCCTCTGTCCCTGCTGCACATACTGTCTCTGTCCCTGTCCTTGTCCTGCTTTAGGACACTGCCTGGTGGTATGACCATACTCTCCACAAGTGTAACAACTACCCTGAAAAGTACCAAATGGCCTCCTCTGTCGGTTAGCCTGTGGCTGACCCTGTCTTGCCTGTGGTCCCCCATTCTGTTGCCTCTGAATAGGTGCCCCATTCCGGTGAGCATCTGAACCACCTTTGTGCTTCTTCCAAGGCTGTTGTCCTTGGAACTTGCCTTTGTCATTCTACCGGTGACCATTGCCATTCCCCTTTTCAGCTGACTGATTAGTAGAGTCTTTATCTCCCCGCTTCTCCCCACGAGCCTGTCTGATGTCCATAGTCAACTGATAATGTTGTAGAGCGGCGTCTACCACCTGAGCGTAGGCAGTATAGGCTGGACTACCAGTAATAGCTCTCTTGATAGACACATCAGTCCCTTGACAAAACTGTTGCGCTTCTTCTCCTCTGTGTCCACCTCCTCCGGTGCAAAGAGAGACAAGCGAGTGAACTGCTGCTCATACTCCGCCACTGTCATGTTTCCCTGCTGCAGACTTAGAAACTCGGTCTTCATAGCTGCCCTGACTGCATAGGGAAAATATTTCTCATCAAAGCGAGCACTGAACTCATCATAAGACAATGTCATCCTCTCCTCTGAGCTGGTAACTGACTCCCACCACTGTAGTGCATCCCCAACTAGCTTGAAAGTAGCAAGCATCTGCTTCTGAACCTCCGTGCACTGAACCAAACGAAGATGACGCTCAATGTCCTGTTTCCACTGGTGAGCTGCTCTCGCATCGGTTGATCCTAAGAACACAGGTGGACTCCCCTTTGTGAAAGAGCTCCTAGCCTTTCCCCCAAGAATCCGTCTGAACCACTGGTGCTGGTACAGGTGCCGGCTGTACCTGAGGCTGATTCCGAAGTGTAGCTGTTACCCCAGCCTCTATAGCCCGAGCAACGAGGTCATTGAGGTGAGGAGGAATCTCTGGATCTCTGACCTGGTCCAGAGTCTGTTGAACATTCTCCTGTTCCTCCTGAAACTGATCCATGTCATCTTGAAACCCAAGCCTTTGCTGCTCTTCCTCCATTTGCTGACGCCGTAGGAGATATTGTTGCCTACGTGCCGTTCTCCTTTCCTACCCAGTTCCTTACATGTTCTGTCCATTTCTAGCGTTAACCATCTGTTAACACGAAAAGACAGACGTCAGTACCCTTTCTATACGAACCATAAGGAATACAATGAATCCTAACTTAAGCTCTATTCAAGAGAAAATGCTACGCGGAAGACTTAATACGAAAACATCCTAGAGACACTTGAACCTGGAGTGTTCTGATACCAACTGTGATACCCCTCGGATCCGAGACACGGGTTGATCAGGCCCAGACCCAAACTCGAGGGAATATCAAACAATTAATATTTTATAATGAACACGGAATACAAAATAAATTAAGAAATGAAATTAAAGCTGGAAGAAACTAAAAATAGAATCCGCAAAATATTATAATTATTAAAATCCATCAAACCCAAACTCCAAAACTCCATTAGTTTACAACTTGGGAATCCATCTCTAGTGGACCCCTATTAAACATCCATACGGAAGATAGAACAACTGTAATAAACGTCCAGAAATAAAACTATAGAGAGAGTCCTACATCGTCGGAAGAGTGAATAGAGACCTCTGCTCAGCACGAACACGTCTAAGCCTGGAACTGTCGTGTACCTGAAAAATAGAAGTGGGTCAGGCCCACGCGCAAGTTCTATAATACTACAATCCAAACAGAGGCCCGATACGCATGTACATCCTAAACAATTCAACAATAGCTAATAGTCCGTAAATATATATATATAGTCACACTAAAGGACTCTCATTGGACTACAGGCCTGTTTCAACCTGAATAGAGGTAACATGCTAAAACGCACACGAAGTGGGCATATGTACCTATACCTAAACAGGGTACACCTCCAACCATCGTAGCCAGCTACACATCCCGATGCATATCCGCTCCCTAGCCATCGGTCCTGAGGCTCAAGCTCATACCGAGGCACCATAACAGGACATATATAAAATCCATCCAAAATCCCTGGTATTGCCGCTCAACAAGTAGTTGCCATGACAATACAAATCCACGGGACTTAACTTTTAGTTAATCCTATCCTTATTCCAAGTAGGTGGGTAATGGTATTGTTTTAAAAACCAAACCCATCCTTAGTATGCCACCGTCCCATACTGGTGCCTACTTTCCAATCCTCCAGTAGTCAATAATACCAATAAATCAAGTATATATCAACTAAATTCCAACATCCAATATTCAATGTTAGCAGTGATAAAATAAGCATTGATAAACAGGGTCACAACAACAACATATACTTGCCCAGTTTAAGTTGTTCTCTTTAGTCTGATATAAAGATAGAATTAATTAAAACTTCTATTTAACACCTTACAAATGACATACAGATATGTAGGGTATGTATCACAAAATCTTAACCTCCACAGTTGATACTAACTGTGATAATGTAAGCATCAAAACAATATTCACAGTATGTATGTAGACATGCTCAAATTATAGTGTTCCACAAAACCGATCTAGTGTTAAACTCAAATCCTCCTAATATTTAAGTTCCAACAGTTGCTATTACAGAAGTTAAGATAGCTATCATCTAAACCCATCCTTCCAATAATTTATACTAGCAGTGGTAAGGAAAAACGTGAACCACAGAACCACAATCATCCACAAACATGCTTAGTCTAGGTTGAACAAGTATAAAACACTACTGTAACTACCAGTTTCATTGCAAAACAGATATCATTTTTGTTTGGTTTAATCTTCATTAATCCTGGAAATCATTTAAGAGTGCAAAGAGTATGAAGCCTAAGGGAAAGAGTAAGGATAGAATCTTGCCTCAGAAACTTTTGTTCAAAGTTTCAACGTCGTCTTCTTAAAAAAAATCCCGGCGAGTTCCAAAACCCGGTTACTGTTCACGGGTACGAAACACTATTCCTGAACTCAAAATCTGATCTTCACGGTTCAGATTGTGTGACACTGAGTCATGAACCTATCCTCCAAATTTCAGCTCGATCGGACCACGGACGAAGCGGGATCAGATGTTTGATGAAATCTGGGCAGAATGGAAAAAACCTGTGAGACCCGGTTACTGTTCACGAGTACGAATCACTGTTCCCGAGGTGAAACTCTGATCTCCACCGTTCAGATTGTGTGTCACTGAGTTGTGAACCTCTCTTCCAAAATTCAGCTCGATCGGACCACGGACGAAGCGGGATCAGATGTTTGATGAAATCTGGGCAGTATGGAAAAAACCTGTGCGACCCGGTTACTGTTCACGAGTACGAATCACTGTTCCCGAGGTCAAATTCTGATCTTCACCGTTCAGATTGTGTGTCACTGAGTCGTGAACCTCTCCTCCAAAATTCAGCTCGATCGGACCACAGACGAAGCGGGATCGGAGCTTTGATCAAACCTTGGCAGAATGTGAAAAACTGCGTTTTTCCTTCTCCACTTCCACAAAACGTGTGCTTTGTTTTAAAAAAACCTTACACAGACATCTACCTTATACTTATAGAGTTTTCCTAAACCCTAGATTCATTTAAGTCCAACTCACAATCCTAACCGGCACATCTAATTAACGTAGAAACCTACGACGGCTATAGTATAAAACCCTAATTTAAACTGTAATTAAAACCCTAGTTAGATGTATTTACCTAATTACCCTATTCACCATTAAATACTTAACAAATAATCTAATTGAACAAAATAATAATTAGTAAACCCAATTAAATCAAATAAGACACACATAAAATAAAACACACATAGAATAATTAAACCAATTACACTTAAACCATTAATGCCAATTAAATAATTAAAACACTAACAAGTAATTCCAATCAAATAACTAAATCAATTACACTTAAACCATTAATGCCAATTAAATAATTAAAACACTAACAAGTAATTCCAATCAAATAACTAAAAATAAATATCATTTAAATATATTAAATCACCCCAAAAGAAAACAATTAAGCACCTAATAAAAAAGTAATGACACATAATTAAATAAAATGCACTTAAATAATAAATTAAATACCATTAAATAACAGGAATATCCTTTTTAAAATTAGGGGTATTACAATAACTGCTATAGAGGAAATTCTCAAGACCCATGATCGTACATATCTTGTCTGCACGACATGTTCCTCATTCAGTACCGGCTACGTTCCCAAAATTCAATGATGCATCTGTTAGGTGGGCACTGGAGTGCAATGTTAGATGGAAGAATCTAAGAACAATATGCTGAACTGAGCTCTTCTCGGCCAAGACAATGGAATCTCAAGCATGTTCGAGAGAAAAAAAGGTGTTGGACATGGTGCAGTTTTTGAGTGCAAAATAGGGAAATGAAGTGAAAGTTGGCGAAGTGGCTTTTGCCACTGTGTATAACATATTGAGTAATCTTCTATTATCGAGTGATTTTATGAGCTTTGAGAAGGAGATTGTGGATGGAGGGATGAAGGCTCTTTTGGACAAATATGTTGAGGTGATTGGAGCTCTAAATGTATCCGACTTGTATCCAATTTTAGGTGCATTAGATCTTCAGGGTATAAACAAGAAGACAATGGAAGTGTTTATGAGCATCTGTGCCATGTGGGAGCCCATTATCAAAGACAAAAGACAAGGAAGTAGAGGCAATGCTTCAAGCCAAACGGACTTCTTGGGCGCCCTCATTGACATTTCTTGCACCGATGAACAAATCAATTATCTGCTCCTGGTTTGCTATCTTCTCTCCTTTCTCTCTCTCTCTCTGTATATTTATGCATTTATTTATACACAATCGATCATTCACACGTATGATGCGTCATTGTCACAGGAGATATTCGCTTCTAGTGCCAATACGATTGAGTGGGCGATGGCAGAACTGATAGAAAGTACAGAATCCATGAAGGAAGTCCGCGAACAAATGACGAGAGAAATCAAACAAGATGTGCTAAAAGAATCCCATCTACCTCAGCTACATTACCTCAAGCTGTTTTCAAAGAAACTCTGAGGCTGCACCCTCCAGCACCACTTCTGGTTCCTTGCCATGCACCTGACTCGTACAAAGTGATGAATTACTCCAATCCTAAGAATTCTCAAGTAGTAGTAAATGTTTGGGCGATTGGGCGAGACCCCATTAATTGGGAAGATCCATTGAAATTTAAGCCAAAGAGGTTCCTCAACTCGACTTTGGATTTCAAAGGGCATAATTTTGAGTTCTTACATTTTGGTGCAGGAAGAAGAATCTGCCCTGCCCTACGTACCCTTGGCAGCAAAGTTTGTTCCTTTCGTACTTGCTCCATTGATTCATAATTTTGATTGGTCACTTCCACATGGAAATGATCCCGATGAGCTAGACATGAACGAGAAGGCTTCTATAACATTGATGAAGGAAATACCCTTGGTCCTCATTCCCACACTTAAGAAGAAATAAGCAACGGATTATTGCTACCTTATCTTCCTAGCTACCATATATACTACTATTACAATAATCACACTTGTTTGTGTTTATTTAGGATATGGCTCATTATATCGGTTTTCAACTATGAAAGCATACGTTTATATTTCAACTCATACTCGTATCAATAAAAGATGTGTCAATGCATATATATTTTTGCGCAAATATGTTAGTTCAAATTTCAAGTGGTGAGTTTAAAAAAATCATGTCTTAGAAGGTCAATTTGAATGCACTTGGTTGATCTAATTCCCTCCTCAATCCTCAAATGATGTAAAGTGACCAATCCATTGGATGTTTACATCTTTAATTACTTGGAATATTAGTGTGATTTACGACATTATTTTTACGGCTATAACTGTATGGGCTCAACTCTACTCAAGCTTGGATAGTCAAAAGCGCATTTGGTCTCTTTACTCAAGATTGGACTCAAAAAGTAAAAAATAAATAAATAAATAATCATAATTCTTACATGCGCGATTAAATTTATTCTTTATTCTAAGTGTGCTACAATTTAAATTCAATACCATTAATGTTGAGGAATCTATATGACGATCTCAAAGTGCTTCAAATCTTCGTACGGACAAATAGGTGCTTGCGTGAGTTTATTGTCAAAAAAAAAAAAAAGAAATGGGGCCGTTGGGGCAATTTGTAAATTGGGCAAGTCAACATTGCAATCAAGATTGCCGGCTTAACAAACATATACATAGGGAGAGATGATAGGGTACGTAACCTAGATTTTCTTTACATGGTTATCTCTCGAGAGAAATACATCAGTTGACAACAAATACAATCACACTGCAAAAAGCCAGATCTTGATACTGCAAGTCATGACTGAGACTATTGCAAGAGAAGCAACCTATCTCTTCTTTCCTATACTCCTCTTACCTATCATCTTCTTCATCCTGAAGCATTTCAAATCTTATTTCTTATCAAAAACTAGTCTACCACTTCCACCAGGACCAAGTCCATGGCCAATATTGGGCAATATTCCTCAGATGGGAAAAAAGCCTCACATCACTCTAACAAACTTTGCTCGGTCGTATGGCCCTCTCATGTCGCTGAGACTAGGAACTCAAATCATGATCATCGGATCATCCACAACTGCTGCAGAGGAAATTCTCAAGACCCATGATCGGAGCTTATCTGCGCGGTATGTTCCTAGTGCAGTACCAGCTAAAAGCTCAAAATTCAATCACTTGTCACTTGGATGGGCACTGGAGTGCAATGATGGATGGAAGAATTTAAGAACAATATGCAGAAGTGAGCTGTTCTCGGGCAAGGCAATGGAGTGTCAAGCATGTTTGAGAGAGACAAAGGCAACGGACATGGTGAAGTTTGTGTGTGCAAAGGAAGGAAAGGAAGTGAAAGTTGCAGAATTGGTTTTTGCAACTGTGTTTAACATGTTGAGTAATGCTTCGATATCAAGAGATTTAATTAGCTTGGAGAAAGAGGGTGTGGATGGAGGGATGAAGAGTCTTATAAGAAAATATATCGAGTTGATTTCAGCTTCAAATCTGTCTGATTTTTATCCAATTTTAGGTGCATTAGATCTTCAGGGCTTGAAAAAGAAGGCAAAGGAAGCGTTTATGAGGATCTGTGCTACGTGGGAGCCCATTATCAAAGACAGAAGAGAAGGAAGAAGAGGCAATGCTTCGAGCCAAGAGGACTTCTTGGACGCCCTCTTGGACAATTCTTGTAGCAATGATCAAATCAACTATCTGCTCCTCGTTTGCTTCTCTCTCCTCTCTATGCATATATATATATATATATACAAATTAATACAAGCCTATTGACGTAAGCGGAATCAATAAATTTGTTCACGAGGTACAAGTTACTTTGAATCCACAAGGTGGGTGTTTTGAATCCACAAAACAGAAAAAGAATTAAGAGAAATCTGATATATTATTTGATAATTGAATGATTGATCTGCTATGCAATACATGTATTTATAAATAAAACCCTAACAGCATAAAGGAAATCCTAAAACATAAGGAAACTAGCTCAAAAACAAACTTGCTCTGAATGTTCTTAAAAAATAAGGAAAGAAACTTAATTACTAAAAACTACTAAATACCAAAAAAGAAAGCAAATCGAATCCGTTTAGTTTTCTAACAAAAATTTCGAAATATTCAAAAATGAGAAAACGTCATTCCCGAGTCCTAAACTATTGAATTTGACCGAAAGACGCCCTACCACAGCATCGAAGCTGCAGATATATGCGAGTTAGGCCGTTTCTGATAAAACTGGGCTCTTTTTCGGGTTCACTTCTGTATCAGTCCAGAAAATCTGTCAGTATGCCCGATTGGCTCCTTGGCTGTCCAAACGGATCATAAAGGTTTCAGCAATCAGTTCTACATCACCTATATACTCTATTGGCAAAACTAGCAAATCCTTTTTGTACACTTAAAAAACCACCACAGAAGGCTCCTAGTTTGGGGGTAGATACTAGCTAGAGTACATAAGGAAAGCGTGGTCAGTACATTTGATCGATCTTTTTATCAGGGCTTATTCTGTGAAATTTGAGGTCAATTTTTTTTGTTCATGATCAGCTGATGCAGTTGAGATAACATAACCCTCTAAGAAAATCACCATAAGGGAAATGTTCAAGCTTTGAACTCTAATGTAGAAATAATAAAAAAGTAGAGGTTAGTTTGGCATTTTTGAAGTAATTTTCTTTCAACTGAAATCATATGGAAACCATCTTTGCTGTCAAAAGCAAGAAGGTAATACTAAATTGTAAACTGACTGGTGCCAGGTTAGAGAACTATGTAATGAGAGTCAAATTTTAAGTCTTTGACATGAATAGAATACAGATCAATTAATTAGAATAAGGCACAACTAGCCTTGTCAAGCTTGAACAGGACTAGTTTGGCTTGATTCAGACTCAAGTTTTTCCATACTATTCTTAGCTGTGGTATGGTCAGTGATTCCACAAATTACACTGGTACGGAGAAAATTAGCATTGCATTAGTTTTTCGTTCTGTTGAGGGTTCAGTTTCAATTGCTTGGCATATAATCTAAAAATCAATCATTCACATGATGCATTGTCAGGAAAAAAAAATATATTTTGAATAAGTTTTTTAGCAAATCTAAGTATAAACAAATACTTAACGAATTTTATTTTAAATTAGCATAATTAAAATGAAAAAAAACTAACCGAGACTAATTTGGATTTTTACTCACTTTTCAAACTCACTCCTAATGCACTTAGCGTGACATACCAAATTGTAAAAATTGAAAATTGCACTCACAAATTAATAAGACTAGAGTGATTCAGGGTTGACTGTGGTGTATATATTTACAAGCGCATAAAAAGAACTATCACTACATTTCTAGTCGTAAGTAAACCACGTGTTCATGACATATTTCGCAACATTATTGTTGGAATTATTTGGAGTCCTAAACGTCACTGATATTCTTAGTGGATAAGTTCATGATGTGGGCTCAGTTTTATAATTAGTTCATTAATTATGTGCTAAGAAAGTTGCACTTTATATTATATTAAGGTTAGTTATTTGATAAATGTGTTGCATGATCATTGTAAACAATTAATTTGTATGCTACATATGTTAACAAGAGGGTTTCAGTTAATTATTTACCCAAAAATAGAGAGGGTTTTAACCAAATTCTATTTGAATATGATATAATGTTTAGTTCAAGAAAAGTTCAGTCAACAGATTGATCTAGTGAGATAATCATAATATTTATTACGGTAGATTTCCAATTTTCTCATACAAATTATACAAAACATATTTTTAGAGGTCTGGCACCATATTTATTAAAAGAAATAAAAGTACAAGTGTAATGTTTTTCTTGTGACACCAGTAGTGACTAGTGACACTATGTTCGATAATTTTATATGGTATATTATTCTTACGTTGTTATTGTTAATTGTTATGTTCTCAATAATATTAGAATATTACTTTTCTAGGTAAATTAAGTTATTATTTTTTAAAGAATTTTGATGTCTTGATAATATTCATAACTATGATATACAGTGACGGACTTAGAAACTTGTATGGGGCAACTTTGAACAACAATAATGTATAGTGGAGTATTATTAGATATTGAGTGGGGACATATTCAAATTTTTTATCAAAAAGTAGAAACATTTTAAAGTTTTTTTACAAAATTATTGATAATTTTGTAAATAAATTTTTTTTCAGTGGGGGCGGTTACCCCCACTGGGCCCTTCATGGATCCGTCATGCCTAATGACATAACACATATAATGTAGGCGGCTGCTCAATTAATTAAAATGTACCATACCATTTAAACTGGTTGAGATCAAGGTGCATCTTGATTGGTTAGGCATACTAATGACTTGATACAAACTTAGAAATTGAGATCAACCAATATAATTTTTAGTGAGAGTGCCAAATTGAGTTGTTTTTACAATTTCATTACTACAACAATTATTTATAATATTATTATTTGTTTTACTTAGAATACGAGACTTAAACTCTTGACCATATAATTTAGAAGACGAAAAAATATTATTCGATCATTATTTTAATACACACTGTTAATGTACGTATATAATTCATACGATACACCTGTTTATTTATTGTATTGCATTCACTTACCACCTTTCTTATATTTCTCTGACCTAACATCTACCTTGTATTACACTTGTAACGACCCTAGATTTTTCAAACCAGTGTGTCCTGTGATGGCCGGAACTAGATCCAAGATGCGAAAGTGAAAGATCAAACAATGGTCTTTAGAGATACAACACACCTCTAAGACACACACAGAACCCAAAGGGATAAAGTGTGGAAGCAAGAGATCAGAAAAGTAACAATTAAGCCCCAGGGGCAAAATAGTCATTTCATAGAGAAATGGATGCTACCAAGCATACCATAGGAAAGACAACGAAAAATTAATGAATTTAAACTCAAGAATAACCTAATTCAGAGTCTGGATGGCAAAGATATCAAGTCTCGTAGTCGAAGGAAGGGAAACTCTATCCCGGTTCGAACCAAATTCTAACACTACTTCACTAAAACATAAATAACTTGAGCTGCAAATGAAATCTGAAGCTTTAATTGGTACCATTGGAAAGCTCAACACGGTCAGTTTCGACTTAAGAACAGACCAATTCAGAGTTCAAACGAGTGAGATATGACCCGTTGAAGAAGAGTATCCAGTGCAGGAACAGTATCCGCGGGGGCCTGCCCAAAATCGGCGGGGGCCAGCCAATTGCGGCAAAAAGTCACGGGCACCCACCAAATGGGGTAGTGGCATGGTCTGGAACCTCAAAAAATGCAGGAACAATGATTTTAGCAGAAAATTGGACTTAGAGGGCGGTTTAAGAGGTCAAGATGACATTTTTCGGAAAAACACGAAGAAGAAACTCCCCCTAAAATCATATTTCCTATGTGACAGAGTCAAGAATGGAATTTATTTCTGAAAGAAAATCCCCAAAATGCCCTTAGATCAGTTTAGGCTCAAAACGGCGAAAATGCAACTTTGCACCAAGTATACATTTGACCCCAAATGCACTTTTAAGTTGAAACGAATATGCACACACACGTAATAAGTGATTTTGAGCGTGCGGGAATGGTCCATGGCTCCCGGAAATGGTCGAGTCAAAATCCGACCCCCCAACGGCCAAAATTACGAAAATGAACCTAAAATGGAAACTTTGAAAACTAAAATCAACAAATGACTTCAAATGACCATTTGGCCCTTGACTACACTTCATACATGACTAATGAGATCCTATGAAAGAATCAAAATGGAATTTCCACAATCAATGCAAACATGGTGAAACAAAAACTCAATAATCTTCAATATTTTCATAATATTCCATGAAGTTAAAAATTACATAGTATATGAAATACATGGTATTGACCTCTGGCCTCATCTCACACATGTCAAATATATTGTAAAGAGTGTACTCATGTACACATTACATATATGGAATCAAATATATACATTTTGACATAAAAGACTATAATTGGCATTCCAAGCCAACCTTTACAAGAGTTAAAAACCTTCAAGTCTAGAATCATCCAAGCATAATGAGAATCTCGAACCTTGATTCCTGTACCTGAAAAATGTCCCCACTACGTGAGTGAGTAACATAAAGCTACTCGTAGGAAATGAACATGCATCGACCTAGCATTTTACAATTATATCGCCTTAAGGTGAAACATGTTAAAGGGGCTCATGCCACCTAACGTCTATGTCAAAGTAAGACTCAGGGATCATCCTAAGCTACTCATGCAATTGAAATGAACAACGGCATACAAGTATACATGCTCAAGTATACTAAGCAAAGTTAAAACATGTTATACAACATATAAGCATATAATTACAAGTACACTAGGTCATGCTAAACAAGGTAAGCAATATCAAGCATACATCTCCAAGTATACTAAATCCTATTAAAACAACTTATGCAATGTCTAAACATACCTACACAAGTATACAATTAATACGGAAAACTCATGAATCAAGTATACAAACACAAGCATACTAAACAAGATGAGTTGTACATAAAACAAGTATACATAGCACAAGTATACTACATGAGATCAAAATATATGAAGCAAGTATACAGTCTCAAGTATACTAAATGAGATCCAAATACATAAGGCAAGCACCAATCCACAAGCTACAAGTAATCCATGATTAACAACTTGGAATGGAATGCGAAATCAAAAGTGGAAAGACTAGGACATGCGGTCACTAGACCAAGCAAGTGTTTTCGGGTAATTACGACCCACAAGGCACTACCTAGTGCGCACATGTATAAGTTATTCCGGGTAATTACGACCCACAAGGTACTACCTAGTGCACACTTATAACTTAGAAGACTCTTATCTCCGTACTAGAGCCAAACCCTAGCCATCACATGAAATATGTCCTTACAAGCTTACCAAAATCAATAAGTTCAAAACTTATACCAAAATCAATAAGTTAGGCCAAACTTATATCAAATCCAATAATGCATAATACACAAGTAAGGTTGAATCCACACAAACCATGTCCTAGAATTCAAGTCTAAATAGCATATGACAAGTCATGTCCTCAATATGCAATTTATACACAAAGCAAGAATATTTTACAACAATTGACCCACATTACCATCCTAAGCCACAAGTACTAAATAAGCTTCAATTTAGTATCAAGCTTTCAAGGAAATCAATTGTAATATTCTAACAAGTTATATACCTACACAAGATATATATAAACAAGTTATACAAGTCAATGATATTCTATATCATGCTAAGTCCAATTACCATTTCAAGAGACCACAAGTACTAATTCTACATCTAATTAGTAATATGCTCACAAGTTAATTAATTTCACTACATTTCAAGGGA